TGCGACAGTCTGGCTTTTCATTGCGTCGATGCTGGCAGTCTTCGAAGTGTCGAAGAACCGTGCGGCCGATATACACACGGACGAGCCATTTTCGGGTACAGGAATGGTGATGTACGCGGGAGACTGTTATACCCTCCGTTTTCCGCTGAGCTAACTGAATATTTTTCTAGCCGTCCTCTTCCTTTCAGGTGCTTGATCGCGCCACGAGACGAGCAAGCGCAACGAATCATCCAGCACACGTAGTAACCCCAGTAGCTGTTTTTGCGAGCGTAGCGAGCAATCATCGACTAGGGATAAACTCAGTTCACGTGACGTGGTCGTGCAATCCGGGGGTCAGCGCTGCTCAGCGCAAAGGATGAAAACATGATTTTCTTTCTACTAAAACTGGTATTAAAAAGCAAATTTATCCCCCGCTTGTATCTCTGTATCCGTAGATATAACAATCCTGCCCAGATTTAAGTGGGGAGGCCACTTCGGAGGCCATCCTAGAGAAACCTTGGGAGAGTCGAACTGCCAGTGACCACAAGCTGGATTAAGCGTTGCGCGAGCCCCTACTGCGGCACGCAGACGACATATTAAGTAAGATATTTGCCGTAAGCTACGACAAGCTCAGGGGTCACGGTATCAGATGGGGTAGCCATGCTTTCTTAATTCAGGAGTACTAGTAGTGGGGGTCTTTGAAGGCGTACATGTGCCTACTAAAGTATGCGCCGAACACGGTGTCCCGAGCATAGAAAAGCTGAGGGAGCCGAACAATCAGGTGCAGGAGATGGGTATTTACTTGAATATTGCTTGGCTTGATGCGCCAATCACGCTATCGAATGTAATCACGTGGTAGTGCCTCAGAGTTGCCGGCGACGACAGACAGATCCACTAGTACCACCACCATGCTCTCTTTCGGCTGTGCTTATTGAAAAACATGAGGGGCTACTGCTCAAAGCTCAGCTCATTTGAAGCTAATTACAAAGTTCAAATGTCTCTTTTCGCTGTGAGTTATCAAACTGTCCCAGTATACGACGCGTAAACCATAGTATCATTCGCTAGAATCGTAGAAGCTCTGCCATCCGGGAGGTTTGTGCCATGGATGAATGATGCGTGCGTTCCCGGCTCTCTGCTGTACGACGCTGACACGGACGCGTGTGCTTGGTTAGCACCTAAACCCACTGGTTGCAGGAACTCGCGCTCCAGTGGACTCTTCACGTCGATGGAATAATTTCAGACGGCCAAGCCGATGAGACCTTGAGTGTCGTATTTTTTGATGGGATACTGCCTCCTGCTAGGCTCAGGACCGAAATTAAGAGGCGGCTCAATCGGTGTCTTCCTTTCTTGCGTTTGCCATCCGAGATCCTTAACAACATCTTTGCCATCGTTACACAAGACTCCCCGCCCCGTTACACTCGCTGCCTGCCGCACTTAGACTTTACCTCGACCCCCGGATGGATCACTCTTGGGTATATTTGTCACGACATTCGCCGTGCCCTTCTCGATTGCCACGCCCTTCTCGATTGCCACGCCCTCTGGACGAGCATTATCTGCGTTTTTTCTCCCGGGCCTGCCAAGAACTACTGCATCCCCCGAGCCAAGGTCCACTTCAGCTTATTTTCCCGCGGGGATTCTGCCATCATACGCTGGACCGTCTCTGGATTATAGACATCAACCTTTCTCGAGCGCGTATAATCAGGATCGAAGACGAATGGGGACCTCACACGGATGAAGAAACGGCCGAGTAATTTCTAGACCCTTTCTTTTTCGTTGCGAAGCAGCTCCCCTACCTTGAAAAGATTACGATAAACTTCGCAAAAGATCATCAGATCTGTAAACTAGTGACTGGAAAATCTTTTCAGCTACCCCTCACGCATGCACCGCACCTTCGTTCGGTATAGCTAAGGAACTTCTACATACCCCTCCAACCACCCATCCTTCAATCTCCACCTCGCCTGCGATAGTCAACGACGATCTACTTACGGCCCTAGTCACTTCTTTGAGATGCTCCGCTCATGTCCACAACTGACGTTGCTCGCCCTACAACGGTTGGTCCTGGTTCTTGAGCCTGCTACTGGAGCGAGTCTCACCGTTCTCGAATTGACGGACTTCGTCGTGCAAAACAGCGTGGGGCGCTACTTGGTGTGCTGGTTTCACATCATCTGCTCTCCATTGTCATCCCCGACCTTCACATTGCTTGACATTCCCATACATCTCTTGGATACAGGGCGCTATTTGGACCATGTTGCGCCGCATTTTCGGAACCTGTGCGACACCCTCTTTCTGGTATCATGGAATACTAGGAAGATCCGCTTTCACTTTCACTTACGTTCACTTTCGATTTCCCGGACAATGCACTTGATCCCTTCAGCGAAGCGTTTCACCTCAACTTCCGTATGGGATTGGACATGCTGGAACTGGACCTGACACTAGGCTAAGCTATTATGTACTTTGTCGATACTTTCAAACTGTCAAATCTCCTAATATCTGGAACTCGGCGTCAGCAACGACGTCCTCTACGGTGAATGTTTTGACATGCTCGCGCCGCTGATACAGTTACGCGACTTGAAGCTAGCACGAGAAGCTCCAGCATACATACTTCTCGTCGTGGTCCCTCTCGATGGCGAGCCCAGAACCCTCCTCCCTGCTCTGAAAATGCTCTGGATTGCATCCTTCTGTATGAGCGGAGGCGATGACAGGAGGGTACCGATCTCTGCATTTCTATGCGACGCTACGTCGCAGAAGCGCGCCAGGTTCACCCTCAAGTAGGGTGGGGATAGGAAAGTGGTACTGAGGACGTTGTTACCGCGGGTATAGGTAATTGCTCCACGCGTGGAAAACGACCTGGACAATTCAATACTTGAAGGCGAATGGGAAGAAGGATGCATGATGGTGCGAATGGAATGGCTCGCCCCCTGTGCCAGTGTGAGGGCGGTGAACCAACCTCGTGCGAATCGTACACGTGACTCGATACCTCATATTTAACCTGTCGCACCGCGTCTTGGACGACGCGTATTATTTTCTTGTACTATCGCACTGTTAGCTACCGCCAATCGCACAAGGCGTTACGGTCTTCTGTGTGCGAACGTGCAAGGCGATCTCACATCCCCGTCCTTGGCTGTGATCAATGGTATAGAATTGGACGCTAAGGACCAGCAGTCGCTATGGTCTTGCAACTCGACACCATGTGCTAGTCTATTTCTTATCCTGCCGCTTTAGCTCGTCTATTACCAGTAAGGTTCAAAGTCAATGCGTTGCTGCTATGAGTCAGAGGGGCTATGACATCGCATCCCACCGTGGACCCTTCGACATGCCACCGCTTTGCTTCAGCAAGGGCGACGAATGTTATTTACCAACAACGTATTTATTTATCCCGCAATCGTAGTCAAGATGCTTCGAGCACATATGCAATTAAGTGACTCCCTTGAGCTGTCCTTGCTCTCTTGAAGCTCAGGACCCGGGGGATCGTAGCATCACGCACGGTGTTGATGCTCTCCGCGGAGCTGTCCGAACACAGAACTGACGATATTTCTTCTTCTCTTGCCAGATCCAGCTTGCTTCCCTTCCTGACCGACCTAAAGGTTTATTCTCAGACTGCCCGCTTATCAGGTTCATTGACGTATTTTGTCTTCCGTCTTTGGCGCTTCTGCAGGTTTTGTAGAGACCTTCGGCTCGTTCCCTCTCGTAGTCGATAGCACTAGCACACGCTGATTTTTATCGATCACCTTTGACAAACGATCAACCCGACCGCACCAGTATACTTGAGCAAGTTCAGGCTATAATTGTGTCCCAACATCTGACGGTGCGAGCAAACTCTACTTTCGACTTTATTTAATATCGCGAGGTCCTAAGCGCTGCACTGGCATGCTGCATCCGCTGCGTCGTGGAAATATGGATCCAAGGATGGAGGTGTTACCCCCCTCCGTGAAGGCCGTGAGAGAGATGCGCTAAATTAAGGCTCGGTTTCTCATGCCGGACGTGCTACTTCCCTTATGATGACAGTATTCCTGCCTTCGTGTTTGGCGGCTCAATACGCGGCTCGTGAAGATCATCCGCTGGTGTCCTGCGGCGCTACTGTACCACTCGTTACGATTTCTGAGCTTGCGTCGATCGTCGTAGTTTGATGGCGGTTGATTGATCGTCGTTCGCTTGTTTTCTTATTCAATGCAAGGGCCTGTCTATCGTGGGATACGTATCGTACTTATAAACGTGCGGTCATGTTGCGAGGGTTGGGTAAGAGCGTCCCGAAGCGCTTCGGCTAACACGTAGATCGGCTGTCAATTATGAGACCGTACTTAGGACAGTACCTACCGGACTGATCAACCCATCCGGGCCACAGCCGTTCAGGTCGGAGCGCTCTCTGTGTGGGTGATGGACGAACAGTTTACTGACGACTCCATACCAGACCATACGCTCTTGATCGCACAGGTTAACGTACATTTGCAGCAGCGAGAATTCCCAGGATGGCACCCTGCTCGAGGCCTGGGCTCACTAGCAGGCGGAGATGGCCTTGGTGCCAGGGCGGATGCGGAAGGCTAGTCATCGAGGTGGATCGTCCGACGCGGGAGCCTGTGCTCGGCAGGCGTACAGTAAGGCCCGCGGGATGATAAGCGTACCACACGCTATGTCCGTACGGCACCAGCGGACGGTCGTGCGAGCCTTGCATGCTGTAGTCTCGTCTAATCGGGGTTAGAATTTCTTTCAGAGATGGACATGAGTCCTTTGGGTCATTACAATTCTGCGTCATTTTCTTTTGCCCGTGATGGCCTCGTCTTTTGCCTTCCCCCCAAGCTTCCCCTTTTTTGTGACTTGTATGATCATTTGATTTGGGAACAATGTTCTCCTCAATACTTCTCGTAGTGCATCCATTTCAACTCTGGAGACGACCCTGTCATAATGGTATCACTCACGGAGCACAGGAGAGAATTGTGCAGGAGATATCGGCTGTTAGTAGTAAACCTTGGTCGGGAGGTAAAAGTAACATTAGGATGTGAAAATAGCATAACGGGTAACGTAAACGACACCAGCAGGATTCGAACCTACGCGGGGAAACCCCAACAGATAATTTCGGCACGGGCGTGTTCGAATCTGTCGCCGTAACCACTTGGCTATGGTGTCGTGCTGTGGACCAAATTAAAAAATTATTTAAGCGTTAAACGGGGATGGCGGGTGTTGATGCGTTCTGCTTAGGCTACTACTATTCCCCCATCATATAAGGGACTCGGATGTGGATCCTTCGTTCCAACTCTTAGTGATCGAATTTGGGGCGGTGAGCTTACGGCTTCTTATGCAGTGTGTTGGCGATAAGCAGTCATAGGAATGGACAAGAGAACACAGCTAAGGGGAGGTTTCTGGCTTACCGGCCTTCCAAACAGTGTCTGAACTGAAAGTCGACGGGTAGCACACAGGAACCGTCAGGCAAGTAAGCAACGTCAGAAGAGGCCCCTGGGGAGCTACAGACAGGCTCTCCGGCGCCCTGAGTTTGTCATGACGAGCGTCATCTCATATTTCTCAAAATCACACCGGAGGAACCGAAATCGATGTGCTTGTCTTGCGCATACCGCCGGGGAAAACCAAGGACCGCGGCAAGGATACAATGCCGATCAGAATATCGGTCATGCAGTTTGGTATGCTTCGGGTATTTATGGATGCGCGACAGTGATCGTGTCTCTACAACGATGAAAGCAACAGCCTTCGTACTATGTATAGGCAGCGTTACATGATATATTACGATCACTCAAGCACATTCCAAGTGTATACTGTACTCGAGAGCAGAGTTCGGCCAACTTGCCAACCAAGGTCCCGAACGGGTGCAACAGAGAAGAACATGTCGCGTCGCGGCGTCGCACTGGCGTCGCCCGAGCTTGCTGCGAGCACGACGCGCGTTCTCTCGTGTCCGTTGTACTGTCATCATCTACGCATGGGAACTGTTTTCCGCTCGTCTGCAATATGGTCACAACACCTCGTCCACTGCTATTCCGTCCTCAGGCATCTACCCGGAGTGATAGACGCTCCAATCGCGAATAGTATGATCTGGGGCTGTGACGGCGCCGGCGTCGTTTAGGCCCGGACTCGAATGCCCAAGCCCGGCCCTACTCGGCGCAAACGTCTTCAGCGCGGCTGGATCCTCAGGAGACTTTGAGGTGGTGCTGGTTGTTGTGCAGACCCGAATCCGGCCTCAAAGTACAGCCCTGTTACTTGCAGTGGAGTAACAGGAAGATAGGGAAGGTATATCAGCTAGCACAGCGATATACACTGGGCATTCACGGGTGCTAGCTGCTGACCACTATGCCTTCGAGGCACAAACAACCAAGAATGGTATGCCACGCTAATCCTGGCAAGCAAGCCGGAAAATCATCAGTGCACTGTCTCAGGTAGGCTAGAACGGCCGCAGCTCAAGCCGCAGTGCCTTCATGAAACCTAGTATCACCGCAATAGTCCCGAGTGTGCTGGAAGGGGACAGTGGTATAGTAGCGAACTCTCAGACACGGGCGGGTCCGTGTCGCAGCGCGATCTCAGCACTCAGCTTTCGGCGCTCAACTATTCAACATGATGAGAAGCTGTGGCAAGTGGGAGCCTTGCCGTCACCTTTGACTGATTGGCAACTGTATTGGGCTCGGTCTCTGGTTAGTAACCTCCGAATAGAACTGGATCGTCCATAATTTAGAGCGGACTGCGGGGCTAGTATAAATGTCGTAGCGTGGATCTGCCCTCATCACCTTCATCCTTGCAGGCATTCTCGGCTCGGACGATGTCAACGCTCATTCGTACATCTGGACTCCTCGCCGCTCTTTTCTCCTGCGCCTCGAGCGTACGGGCGACTGACTATCTCATCGTTGGCGGTGGAACGGCTGGTCTTACTCTTGCCAACCGCTTGACCGAGGACCCTTCCGTGTCTGTTCTCGTTCTCGAAGCAGGCGGCGATGGTCTTGGAAAGTGGGTAGCCGTCGTGTGTGCGTACATATCTTCATTTGACGAGTTTTGCCTAGTGTCAACATCAGTGACATCGCCCTCATCGGTGCCGCTTGGGGAACGCAGGTCGACTGGCAGTTCCCCATAGAGCCATTCCCTAACCCTCCCGGGCGCAACATCGGCATAGTGCCCCGAGGAAAGGTCCTTGGGTGCGTACTATATTGTTTCCCTTCTACCCACTGAAGTCTCAGTTTTGCCTTATTAGCGGCTCGTCGGCTATCAATGGTACGTGCGCTGTGCTAAGACGTTCTTTTTTGCCTACAAATTCTATTTACAGGTGACGTCTGGAGCCGTGGTGATGTGCGCGACTATGCGCAGTGGCAGGGTCTTGGGAACCCTAGCTGGTACGCTATATGCGCCGTGCGTGCTTGCATGCAGCGCTCATATACTGTTGCAGGGGCTCCGATGCTGTTCTTAATGCCAGCTTCAAGAGCGAGCACTTCTTTGCTCCCCCAAGCAACTGGAGTATCGACTACATCTCCAGCGACCATGGTGACACTGGCCCTCTTCCTACATCCTTCGATGCTCCCGCACCCCCGTAAGTGATTTACGCTCGAACTATGAGCTGTCGATTAATCGTTGCGTAGGATTCATGAAGCACTCATCGAGTCCGTTGTGAACTACGGTGGCGTGCGGTCTCCCGATAACGAGGGCGGTCACGTCGATGGTATTTCGTGGGCTACCAACGCTCGTCTTCCATCAAATGCCACGCGTGCCACGTCGGTGAGCGGGTCTCATCGCTAGTGTTTTTTGTCGCTGATGTAGACGATCACAGGCAACTGGATACTGTACGGTTACCACTGCGCCGGCACGGATATTCATTGACATCATTATGCTATAGACTTCCCATACTCTTACCGCAAGAACTTCCAGGTCAAGCTCTTCTCCCAGGCCACTAGGATCATCTGGAATTCGACGAGCCAGGGCAATGCCGTTGCCGCCGGCGTGGAGTATGTCGACCAGCAAGGGAACACGCAAGTCGCCGTGAGTATATCCCCGAGTGGAGCCTCAAGAGGTTTTACCTGACCTCCTGGATACTTAGAATGCCACTACGGTCGTCCTCGCTGGTGGCGTTTGGGGATCGCCTCCCATTCTTGAGCGTTCCGGCGTTGGTAACAAGACGCTCCTCACTTCGCTCGGTATCAACAGCGTCGTCGACTTGCCCGGTGTAGGCGAGAATATGCAGGAGCAACCCGTCGGTGTTATGGAATTCGTCCTGAATTCGAGCCTCCCTTTGGGTGTGCTCACCCCTTTCCTCCTGAACTGTATGCTCGCCCCTTGCTGAAAATTTGCGTCTTGCGGCTGAGACGTTTACCGTACAGTGGAATCGCTCCAGCAGACGTTTGCCAAGGATGGCGACATCAATACGCTCAACTCTCTCTTCGTCAAGCCCGACAACATGCCTGAGGCTCTCTTCCAGACGTACCAGGCACTGTATCAGGAACAGGCGGCATGGTTTGAGGGCAATATCAACTTCGCGACCAGCGGCACGCAGCCCACTGTCCTTGCTTGGTTCGCCGGTCTTGGCCGCCCGCTGTCCCGCGGCACTTGCGTACGTTCCTTAACTGAGCTAGACCTTGTCCTCTCACTGATGCTTTCTGTGCCAGCACATTACTTCTACTAACGGCACAGCCTTGCCGGCGGTTCAGTACAACTGGCTGACCGCCGAGTTCGATCTCTACGCTATGGCTGTTGCATGCCAGCGTATCCAGAACTTCGCCTCTACTCCTCCGCTCTCCAACTGGATTGCTGGTAAGGACACGCATGATGTCGACTCTTGGATAATTTAGCTCACCACCACGCCAGGTCGCCTCGCGCCCCCCGCCAACGTCACCACTATCGAGGAATTCGAAGCCTTCATCCTTGAGACAGCGTTCCAGGGCAACCACCCTATCGGCACGGCGGCCATGAGTATGTTGTCCGTCTCCAACGCTGTCGGTTACGTTGCTGATCACGTCTCCGTGCTAGTGCCCCAAGCCGACGGTGGTGTCGTCGACAACAACCTCAAGGTTTACGGCACATCAAACGTCTTCGTCGTCGACGCGTCCGTCATGCCGATTCCGACGAGCAGTCACCCGCAAGCGAACGTCTACGCTATCGCCGAGCGTGCGGCTGAGCTCTTCAAGGCTTCTGGCCATGTCTGAATTATCGTCACACACCGGCCGTCTGGTTGTTTCGTCCACACTACGTACGCATTAGCAGTTCACGAATTCGAATGTTACTCATCGCAACTTAATCGTACTCCCTCATTTGTCTTATCCTCTTTCCTCATTAACTATTATCAATAAATGCAAATTACATCTGTCAAACAGTGTCTGAATGCATTCGAGAGGAGAACACATCATAAGTAAGTCGGGTCAAAACAAGATGTAGGGCAGGCTCTGCATTTCGAGCAGACTTCGACTCGAGGCGGCGCACATTAGCGGTACGGGAGCATGGAATGACTACTACTCGAGCTTCTAAGTGCGTACAGATCTGGCTTCGTCTACTCGTAGGCAGCTTGCATGTAGGAGTCTCAGAGGTTCTATTTCTTGTGTGGCCCGTACTCTATTAAATTTCGAACCAACCGGGGATGAATCGGACGCGTACATTGGCACTGGCGTGTACTCAAGCTATCACCCTTGCTACTAGCAGTACTACCGCTGTGCGGACAGTAGATACCAAGGAATTTGCTGAAACCAGCCGCAAGCCCGGAGTCCCGGGTACCGCTTCCGAGAATACTGTGCGCTTAGCAGCTCCGATGCGTGGAGGGCAACATGAAACAATGAAGGAAGTGCTAATGGAAGGTGGAGGGGTCGGATGACGGCCCGAGGCTTGGTAGACTGCGCCACGTGCTTAGCTAATTGCGGGTCTACCGCAGCGTTTCCGAGTCCGTACTCGTGCATGTTTCCTCTCTTCTAGCTATGATTTCCAGCCTCCTCTGAGCCTTCCGAGTATCCTTTCTGATCACTCTAACGTTGACACAGAGAGCCTCGAATCCCAGGAGACTCCGACACGTCGTGATCAGACCGGCTAATTCATACCGCTTGAGAGATGCCAGGCAGCGGGCCGTCATGGTATACAAGAAAGACTACACATCGACCGTATACGGTGTCCGCGAGGCCGTACGAGAAGTATTGCCAGATGCCGGGCCGCACAGCCTATCA